ACAGAAAAGGAAACTTGACTTCATTGGAGGGACCAAGGCTAAATAAAATAGATTGCTTTCCCTTAACTTTGCTCTGCAATCTGCATCTCAAACTAAGTCTTTCCCAGCCTCCTTAGTCCTTTCCAAACAGTAAAGCAGGCATAAAGTATTGTGCCCCCAAAGCCTGATAGAGCTGCTGCTGACTCCATGCCAGAACCTCCTAGTCTGATCTCCACTTATAATGCATGTTTTCCTATTTCTGGATCCTAGCCTAACTGTACCTATCAAGGATTATTGTTGTAGGCAGAAAAAAAGGCCAGATGAGCTAAACTCTCTTCCGCCATATTGGACTGCCTCTTTTGGGAGTCCCAACCTAGTTCTGTATCCCTGCCAGAAACCTACTCCCCTTTTCAGCAGAACACTGCACACTCATGCACCCACTGAGTGAAAACTCTCTCAGATATCTTCTAAAGTGTTAAAGTGGCAACAGGTCAGCATAAAATCCTAGTGCACAGACAGAAGTAAATCAGTGATTACCGTGTTGGCTTTTGAAGCACTAGCAAAAAGATAACTCATATGTTTACCATATGGCAAAGTGAAAAATGGGGGGTGGGATTCCAAGTAGGAGAGTAAAATATAATACATTATGGACACTTGGTAGTGACTCTTTAAAAAGAATCATGTCAGCTTAAAAAAAAGATGCATTACTTTACCTCTCCTTTCCATTGGTGGTCCTAGAAATATCTGTTGTTTTGCAATCCTAACTTCTATTTTTAAACATTTTTCTTCTCTGGAGCTCCATGAAAAACTTAAACCCACACAAATGATGCTATTAAACTGCTGTCAAATACACAATGTCTTACCGCCTTTATCAGCTACACTAATACAGATAGAAACACTCGTTTCTAATTTTTTGCCTGGGAATATTTTGTATATACTGTAAATAGAATATAAAATTGCTTGCTGATCAGTCAAACTCAAGCAGAATATCCTGCAGTTAAGTGGCTATCTTTGGAGGTCAGACTTCATGACCATAATGATCCCTTTTGGCTTTATCTTCAAATCTTCCTTGTGCATCTCTTAGATTAGCTAAGAATCTTGCTTGGCTCATAATTTTTTGCTAGTGGAACATTGTTATAGTAAAAGATTGATCTCCTATTAATCACCTACATGTAGTAACAAATAACTGGGCTGTGAAAAAAATAGAGCATTACAATATTATTATAATGTTAGATACAACATTCTTTATTAAGGTGCAGTTTTGCTTGCACTTTCCCCTCCTACGGCTAACAAGGTTGCACATACACAGTATATTTAAAAAAGTATTAAATTAATAAATGAACCATATTCTTTAAAAAGAACTTTTCTAGCCTTTTTTGATATGCATAGGTAAACTGGTCACATAATAAATACCTTTATAGAATCTTAATCTCTTTCCACACTCTTCTTTGCCATTCCACCTTCTTATTTTCATACCATAATTGCAGTCAGTGATGAAGCAATAAAAACAGTACAGTGAGTAAGCCAGACATGAAGAACTGTCTTGTAAGAAAATGATTAGAAAACGGGTAGATCAGTATTTTGAGCAAGAGGCACCCAAGGAAAAGGTTGGACTCATGTCTTTTAAAGAAGCTGTAATCATTTTACAGTGGACTAACATGGCATGTGATAACTGCAGTTTTCTTCTTTTAGCCCA